TGCTCTGTAATAAGAGTTCGGAACAAACGCTATTCATTCACTTGGTGAACATAACCGTTTTTACAGCTCTGTGACACAACCCGTCAAAAGGCTTATATAAACGCCACAGAATAAGCCTTAAAAGTTCTCAGAGGTGCAACAGCGCGTTCATGTTTTCAAAGCAGAGTGCAAATGGCTGTGCATTTATGTGTTTTTAACTCACTGGGAGCGAAATGAAACCGTCTGAACGCGAAGCTGTGTGTGTTGTATGTCTCCCCTCTTCCCCCTCCGCTTCGCTGTGCACCACGCCCACTTTTTTAGCGTTTTTTTAAAACTGTGGTGAGAACTAACCAGTGCTGAAAAGCGAGGTTTCATGACCCTTTAATATACTGAATTTAATGTATTCTGAAAATAAAATAAAGTGAAAATAACATAAGCACAAAGGCAGCTAATCTGCACACATGCATTTGTGCCCAATAAAATAAATAACTGGAATTAAATGAATTAATTTTTGTCCATTTTAGACTTTTTAAAGCCAAGGTAGCACCTTGTGACACTATTTGGCTTTTTAATTGGTAATGAGAATTTGAGTAAAAAAATAAATAAAAAATACACAAAATAAAATGAAATAGAAACAAATAACTAATAATGAGAATTTGAGGGGAAATAAATTAAAATAAACTAATAAAAGTAACTGGCAATGAAAATTTGAAGGACAATAATAAATAGGTAATTTGGGGGGAAATGCCCAAAGTTGTCTTGAAAAAATAAAATAGTTTATGAATTAATGAATTAATAAATAAATAAATAAATCAACGTAATTACATTATTTTTTGTCTATTTTTTTAAGACAAGGTGCCAGTCCTCTGTTTGGCTTTTTAATTGATAATGAGAAAATGAAATGAAATTTAAAAAATTTTTTTTTAAAAATGTGGGAAATGTGATTAATTTTATTAATTGAAATATAGTCAGTGCAAAAAAAAATCTTAATGCTATGATTAGGCTTCATTCAGATTAGGCTTCATTGTATACGCAAAAAATAATTTCTTTTTTTTCTTTTCTTTTTTTAATCTTTCGACTTTGAGGTGAAACATGACCTGGACATTTCTTCTTAGAGAGATGAGGAGAGATCAAGTTTCATGACTAGTAACCGCTGTGGCCTCATTTCTGCATCCCGTTACACCAATGAAGTCTTTGAAACAGCGAGACTGTGTGTGTGGAGGTGTGAAAGTGCAGGTAATGTGCCCTTTTTTTAATCTGACATATTGTGAGGTAACGAGTCGCTCTGCCAAATCACGCCATTTCCCTCCATTCACTCTCCCTTTCCTGCCTTTCATCTTCTTCCACCTCCTCCTCTCAACATCAGAAGCACAGTGCTCTTTTTTATTCCGTCAAGACTGAGACACATGTCATCTGTCTGCCTCAGCCCATCGCTCCAGCTTCTGCTCTCCTCCGGCCTTCTTTTACACACTAAAGCTGTGAAAGTTTAGAATGCACAGTGTTCTACTTTTCAAAAAACAAAAACAAAAAAAGTGTGGCATGGAAAAATCCTGCAAGAACGAAAGTGGGTCAAACTCTAATAAACTCCAGACTGTCTTTGAAATCGCTCTGACTTGAAATGCATCCTATTTGAGGAAACTCAAGATGATAATTTATCGAATGCATTTACATCACAGCTTACAAATTCCACAATCTATGCCAGATAAAAAAACAGCCGCTCTCTGACATCACTGTTAACAGATAAGAATGTGGGAATGGGGGGCGGATGCGTCTGGACTTGTGTCTGAGATGCTGGTAAATAATAACCTCATGTATGGGAAGCTCCACACATGAACACAGAGAGCAGCTGGACGGAACCCTTCAACTGTGACACACACTTCTTTTTCCGATCGCCTCCCACTAACCTTCTCCTGACTCACTTCCTGTCAGTGTGTGTGTGAACGCCCACATATGCAGTTGCATGCATGCACACCTACAACCAATCCCAAATTAGACATGACTGCTCCCATGACGACAGGGAGATAAGGTTGAGCGGCTCACATGACTGATCATTTAATATTACTGTAAACATTTTTAGAGAGAAGGCTTTCTTACTGGCAGTCAAACAAAAATAGCCAATAAAGCGAAAGTGGGTGTGGTCTTAGCAAATTTTGGATTGGTTGTAGGTGAGGGCGACCTGGGTCATTTTGACAAGCAATGTATGCTCTATCCACACCACACTCCCCAAAAATGATCAATCATTAACCAACCCAAAAGACTGAGCCATATATTTAAAACATTAATACTAATACATCATCAGAACGACAATTATTTTAAAAAGTAAATGAACCTAAATGACATGAAAGTATAAAATACAATTTTTTTTTTCTAGTTTGATGTCGATATTTCTTTATTTTCTGAAAAAAAAAAAAATAATAATAATAATTTTAGTTGCCCTGAATTATAAATAAATTATAATAATAAAAGTAATCCTAAAAAGGTTTTGAAAAGGTGAAAAAGTTTGTAAAATAAAAATAACTGAATTTATTACATTCTAATTAAGAAAATGCAACTGTATTAAAATGAACAACATTCTGCGGTAACTATTATATTAAAATATGAAATTAAATTAAACAATATTTAATCAATATATATTTATAATAATAATAATACAATTTGTACTATTAATCCTAAAAAAATTAAACATTAAAAAAGTTTTTAAATAAAATTCAATATTAAAATTAATGAAATGTAATTAAATTCTAATCAAATAATATTTTATTAAAATTAACATTAATAACAACAATATTATAATTATAATAATTATCATTAATCCTGAAAAATGTAACATTAAAATAAGTTTATATTAATATTAAAATCATTACATTAACAAAAATTAAATGTAATTCTAATTACCGTAATTCTAAAAAAAGCTTTTATTAAAATGATTGAAATCCTGTAATAACCGTCTAAAATTATAAAAATTCTGTAATAACTGTTAATTTATAATAAGAAATGAAATACGATTACAATTATTAAAATGTTTAAATATTACTACAATTCATATCCAGTTTCTGTTGTTTTGTCAAGTCCAATGCAATGGATTATTGCTGCACATTATATTGAACAGTCCGAAGAAATGCATGTAACAGATGCATTTTTTACCAAATACACAAAATAATGATCTTTAAAAAAGCATCATATGACCCCTTTAAAGAAACATGTTTCATGCTGAATCCTTCTGAATAGGTCTTTAAATGGTGACCCTTGAAAACAGCCTGTAATGTGTGTTATGATTGGTCACTCACCGAGACGGCTGCCGTTTCGAGGCATGGCCATGAAGGACCCCAGACTGCCTCCGATGACACTGTGCGGTCGGCGCAGGGGAGGCTTCTTAAAGGAGCCTGTTAAAAAAAATTGTGAATCGAATCGAATCGTGAAATCAAAATCGTGAATAGAATCGAATCGTGAGTTGAGTGAATCGTTACATCCCTACCTATAACAGCTCATTTTTAACAATTCTTTTTAGGGCTGTGCAAAAAAATCGAATGCGATTTTCATGCGCATCTCGTCAGTAAAGTCGCTTCTGTGATTAGTAGTAAATCTCCAGCACGTGCGTTTAGATGGAGCGGCATTTACTACACAGAGCCGTAGTTCACAGACAAGCTACGCAAAATCGCGTTCATAATCGGCAATGAATCGCCTGCGATTTTGAAGTAGTGTGCAGCTGCGCATTAGATTAGAACGGCGATTAACTTACCTACCTGTACAATAAGCGGTTTAGAACGCATTCTCCCGTTCAATTTCGAGCATCCAGTAATATAATCTCACATGTCTTGTGGAGCGCTTTCAGAGCATGCATTTATTTGTCATTTTAATGTTTGGAAACAGAGCGTAAATGTGGAAGTCCTTCAAAGATTTCTTATCCTGTTGCGCCCTCTATAGGACCAGCGACTAGTCGACGTCAAGCTTAAAGCGTCACGGCAGAGCAGTGCCACTAGTCAGTGCAACCCCTAGCTCACACCACCTGTCCAGTCAACCAACCCCTCCTTGAGCTGGCACACACACCCACATATGAAAAAAAAACACACAGCACCACAGTGGTACTGTATTACATAGGGAGATAAAGAGCTGCTCTCTGGAACGTTGTAATCTAAAACTCATACTAGCCTAGCATGCTCAGACATACAAACACAAAAATAGCGAAGCTCTCGGACTCAAATCAACCCAAGAAAAAATGCCTTATATTTAACCCATCGAATGTCCTATGAAATCGCATCCACCTAGGTCTAATTTGATTGCTGGGTCAAATATTGAAAAGCATTAATATCCTGCACTCTTCACAATGGTACTAACAGGTCTAAAGGCTTCCTAATAGAAAGTGTGTTTTTTTCTTAACTTGGTTTATTATGAAGAAATAAAGAAATATTACTGAATACTGAAGTTAAAAATTGAGTTAAATTTTAACTGATTATTTAAAGGGGTCCTATTATTCTTTCTCACTTTTTGAATTTTAGTCGGTGTGTAGTGTGCATGTTTGGGCATAAAAAAGATCTACAAAGTTACAAATCTCAAAGTCCACTCCAAAGGGGGATATTTCGTTTTTTAAAAATCCCTTTTCAAGAACTACAACAAACGGCTCGTTTGGACTACAGCGTTGTTTTCCTGGTTTTGTGATGTCACAAAGCGGCCCATTAGAATATCATTAAAATAATTCCCGCCTACGGAAATTGGAATGGTTGGGGGGTGGGGAGGGGCGAGGTCGTGGTTAGAACGCTTGGTTGAGTGCATCAGACAAGACGACGACAAAGAAGTGATGCTGTAGTATCAAGTTTTCGCAAGTTATTACACATGCACCTGAATAATTAGGTATGTAAATATGCATGTTACAATTATGAAAACGTTTTTATAATAAATTGCTGACAGTACAATATTAGAGAATGATGTAATCTGCAGAATTTACACTTCAATTATGAGACTACAGTGTTTCCCATACATTGAGTGCAGTATTTTTGAAGGGAATGATGTAATCTGCAGAATTTACACTTCAATTATGAGACTACAGTGTTTCCCATACATTGAGTGCAGTATTTCTGAAGGAAACCGACTGTCTTCAGAAAACTGGATGTCATTTTCATTTCATCATGCATGTAATGTCTGATAAAGCAGCATTTGTGAGCGGAGTGCTGCTTTGTGTACAGCCGTTACCGGGGAAACCTCGATCTCTACCACTCCAACAGTGCCTCCTACTGGCAGAGAATGAATTTGCATATATATGTCACCACAAAAGGGGCGGGGCAGTACAGAAACACCGTCTAAGCCAGGGTTCCTCAATTAGTTTTCGCCTAGGGCCGAATTCTGCCAACAATACCAAGCCAAGGGTCACTGACCTATATTATTATTACAATTATTATATTATTGTTGCTTTTGTTAAAATAATCACAAGATGAATATTCAGATTTTTTCCCCAGTAGTCTGTTTTATTCAAACAATTATGAACATTTTTGCATTTAGATTTAGAAGAACTTTGCCTGTTGAATATTAAAAACAAATGAACAAACAAAAAATCTGGATCTCCATGTCTGCCATGCAAATCAACTGTTCCTGCTCATTCCCAGACTGGATCTCATCTATCTTTATAGCCATAGTGAAAGCAACAATATATATTTTACCTCAGATCTTGAAAATAAATTAAAGCAAACTTGTACGTTAAAACTGTGAACTCACTGCGAACCAACACTGTATTCCATAACAAAGATATCAGTCACTCACTCAAAACTGTTCAGTCCATTCACATTTGAATCATCTATTGTCCGTGTCCACTTTTCTTTTCTACACACTCACCATGTTTTTGCCGTCACGTCGTATCTACACTGGACGCGACAAAGCATTGCAAATCATTTGAACGTTGTGTCAGTACGTTATAAATAGAACGAGTCAGCAGTTTACTTCAGGGATTTGTCGTGTCGCGCCGCATCCAAGACAGCATCACTGATTATAACGAGTTCTTATATTTTATTGCGTCGCGCCGCTCACGTCCGGTGTAGACACGATGTAAGTTAATGTAGCTTTCTGATGCTGCGTTTGAATTTTCATGCCACATTATTTTAAACTATCCAAACTTTTTTCTCTCACGGGCCGGATGTGGCCTGCAGGCCGCCTATTGAGGAACCCTGGTCTAAGCTGTTTGCCAATCACAATGCACTGGGACAGCTAACCAATCACAACACATTTAGTTTTTCGGAAGGCGGGCCTTCAGCAAACCTGGAACTAATCGAGCCGTTTGTGCCAGGCTGGGGAGAAAGGTATCGTAATAATGTAAATTATGTGAAAAATAATGCGTTTTTCAAACCACCAAGCATGAGAGCATGTTCTAGTACACCCCCAAAACAAAATCAAGACTTTGAAAAAGAGCATAATAGGACCCCTTTAAGTTCCTGTTTATTTCAGTCATTTCATCTTACATTATAACATTGAACTCAAAAATCGAGAAAAGTGTATAGGTATAAGGGCTAAATCTAAGATATATAACCATTTTGGGTCAAATTTGATTAATAGATTTACAAACAATTTAAAATTGCATCACAACGACCAAAGAGAAAAATTATATTTTTGAGATTTTATGAGAAAAACTCCTCCGAACATTTGCTTATACTGGGCTTGTTTAAACATTTTTTGAAAATGTCAAAATTTTGTTTGGTGTATTTTATACTGAAAACAAAGATAAAAGAAGGGGCAAAGTCAAAAACGCAACTGCGGTCCAAAACCGTTTAACTTCTAAAATGACTGAAACAAAACAAAACAATAACAAAACACCAAAACAAAACCAAAAACAAGCTAAACAAAACAGGTAGGCTTGATTTCATGCTTTGGGGTTTAGAATAAAGGGGTAAAGTCAAAATGCAGTTGTTCACACAAACCATTTTACTTCTAACATAATTGAAACAAAAGAAAAAGCCAAACCAAACCTAACCAAAAAACAAAACAAAAAACAAAACGGGCTTGATTTTATTCTTTGGGGTTTGACTGCAATGTAAAAACTGGTCTCTTTATAAAGTTTGGAGGGGAATAGGAGGGTGTCAGCAAAAATGGAAAGTCATTTCATAGGCAGAGCGAGTTATTATGCTGTGATGAAAGATTATGAAGGCAATCAGTGTTGTTTGCAGACTCTGTTCTGATGCCTGAGCATGAAATGCTGATGGTGTCGTATCTTCATTTATTCAGAGAGCGTTCTCTTTTTCGCTGTGGTCGCTCTCTCTCTCTCTCATATCTTCCCACACCACAGCTGTGTCTCTCATTACAACAGGCCTTTCAACCTGCTTACTAAGGACAATCCAACAAAACACCAGCCTCACACACACACGCACGCAGTGTGGCGCAGGTCTGATCCATCCGAGCCCATGTGGTAAAGTTCCACTCACGGCCAGCTGCGCACAGGGACTTTATTTCCATACAAGCATCATGGAAACTCCGAAATGTTCCACGGCCAACGCCATGGTAACGCTTAACAGGTCTGGCCATGACGATATGTCATGCTGTCAGATGCAGGAGCGTCCCACCGACAGCATTAGTGGGTGTGCGGTTACGACAAAATAGTGGAATTTGGACAGACATGAGCTATTTTTCACACTACTGAGAAAATATCATGATCATTTTTTCAGTGCGCAAGTATATAAAATGTAAACTCTATGCCTATCCTGTCTTGTTGCTAAGCAACAGTGCTCCTGAGGAAAATATTTCATGTCAGCAGAAGGTCTTGGGCCCAAAGCTAGGTTGGGTCTATGGTTGGCGTGCCGACAGTCTCCAGTGACAGGCTCTTAGGGGTCTTTGTGCAGCACCCTAACATCTATTCCTGGTACCAAAATGAACACAGGCAGACATAAATTCACTCTCTTTCTTCCTTATTGAGATGGAGCATGTCTTCAGAGAGTGTTCAAAATGTGAAGCACAAATAAACACAAAACCACACGCATGACTAAAGAATAAGTTTAGCAAGGCAGATGGTGCACATGACTGTCCTGTTCTGGCAGCACCAGACCACAAACATAAAAAACAAACAAAGACTGGCTGATTTTTAAGGAAGCAGTACAGAAAAACAACTGTCCATCTATCCTCCTTTTTCAAATAGTATCCATGTCTTTGTGATATTTAGTGATGACATTTTGTTCAAAATTTAGTATGATTAATAATAAACAGCAAACAAATTAA